AAAAAAAAAAACGTTAGTTCCAAACTTTGCACTGACACAGCAAGTAATACGTACATCCATTTCTTGTCGAGCGTCTCCTTCCATAGAGTGACCTTGTGGTCACCCGAAGACACAGCCAGCACGTTACCAGTGACAGACCAGCTCACACGCCACACAGGAGCGTCAAACGTGTGCAGCAGCTCGCGCTTCCAGGAGCTGTCTTCGGCAGTCTGCGACCAAATGTACACGTGCTTGTCTTCGGAGCAACTGGCAATGAGGTTCACGGGCAATCCCGTACTCGGGGCCCACGCCACATCTCGCACCCAGTCGCTGTGAGCGGGAACAGCGCTCAGCTCCTGCTTGGTCCACTCCGACTCGCCCTCAGGCAGGCTCCAGATCTTGATGGTCTTGTCGCACGACGCCGTCACCACGCGGCGGATGGGGCCCGACGGGCCCTGCGATCCCACTGAGTTGAATGGAGCCCAGCTCACGGCGTTGCAGCCCAGCGCACTGTCCTTGAAATGGCTCACGCTCCAGCCCTCCGCTACGATAGTAACAACACAGTGAGCCACTACATACGAGTATCTTTAATTGCAGCCAAACACGTACGAGAGTAGCTGAGAACGGAGACGGTGCCGTCAGCAGAGGCACAGGCGAGTGCAAGGCCGTACTCGTGCGGCGCCCAGGCGATGCTGTTGACCGAGGACTCGTGGAAGGCGTGGACGTAGGCCTGGGTCCACTGGTTCAAGCTCTGTTCGCGGTAGATGATCACCTTACCGTCGTACGAACAGGCCGCCAGCAATACGCCAAACTTGGGGTGTGCCCACGACACTTGCCACACGGGGCCTTCGTGGCTGCAGCATGTACTAGCGATTAGCTGAGTGTCGTCATTGTCAATAGATACGATTTACTCGTACCCCGTCAGGATCTGCTCGTTGTTCTGCACGTCGCCCGTGACGTCGTACACCTTAATAGTGCGGTCCGAGGAGCAGGTGGCCAGACGCTTGCCGTAGTAGTCCAGCTGTGCGTCGTGCTGTTATACGTCGAGAAACAGTGGGAAGAGCAATAAAGCGGTTATTAACCACCATTTTTCGTCAGTTCTGAGGTGATGGAGACGAAACTGAGGCTGGAAAAAGACACACAGATGAATAATACGACGTACGATCATGTCCTCGTGCTGCGTGTCGATGGAGAGGATGGGGGCGCTCATACTAAGAAGCGGAGAGCAGTTGTCGAGGCTGGTGCTTTGTGCTTCGGTGGCACTTGGGAATATTGTTATTACTCGGCTAAGTGCGTTATTTTTCACTTGATTTCAATATGGGTAAGTTGCCCACAGTGTTGAAATTTGTGAAGAACAAAGTTGTGCTTCTTCTAGAATTAAAGTGCCTAAATTTCATAGCTTCTTGAAGAAGATAAGTAATTTAGGCACAGTAAAACCAGAGAGAGAGAGAGAGAGAGAGAGAGAGAGAGAGAAGAAAGTCTATTAAGTCTTGCTTATTTGATAGCAGCAATGTGAATCCGTTCACCTGAAAACCTTGCGACAGTTAAACGATCCTCACCTCGAGGAAGTTGCACATGCAGCACATTTCCACGCGTTAATACGTCATCAACACTCGTTTCGCTTCAGCTTTCACATGAATGGGGATGAAATGGTGAAGCTGTATCTGAATATGTAGCGATGATGGAGAGCTGGATTGCACACCCTACCAAGATGGATTACTGGATCCTGACTACAGGTGAAGCTATTGGTGCTGTTACTAGATGCAAGTTTTTATACTTCGAAAGATCCAATATTGTGAACCCTCCGAGGAGCGGTACTACTTCCTGCAGCTGGGCACCCACACATGCAACGAAGAGATTTTGTTGAAACTATTGGAACAAATTTCAATTTCCTGTGTGCTACGTTGCAGTTCGGTTTGACGATTGTTGTGGCCAGCACAAGGACAGCACAGCAACCAGCTTCCATTTGAACTCAACGAAAGGTGAAGTGCTGCTTGACATGGTGAAGTATGTCGCGACGGACGACAACTTTTGAAGAGTAGGAAATCCTATCTATATGTCGGCACAGATTTCATTTTTTTAACCTGGAAAAGCAGCGTGCTCAAAGCTTTGAGGTAAGAGGTCATTACAGCACACTACAACATAAAAAAAAAACCATGCAGCTGTACACCAGCTGCATAGTTTTTTTTTTTATTATGTTGAGGAGCTTCGTCGTTCTCCCGATTTCCACGCTATCTGCGCTACAGTAATTTGTATGAAGGTCAGCAAAATAAATATATATATAAAAAAACGAGTAAATCATCCTTGATTGTGGTACATGTATCTGAAAAGTTAAGCTTCTTATAGAATCAGCTCACCAGCCTGCGTTCTCGTCCTCGCTGGGTACGACCATGACGAGGCTTTGCCAGCCAAACTCCTTCCAGTTGAGCTGGAAGACAAGAACCCACGAGATAAAGAGCACCGTCCAGAAGCAAAAGCCCATGAACGACCGTCGTACCCCTGATGGCGGCAATAACAAACAGCAAATACCAACGTTAGACCCCTGGAGCCATACAGTGAACTCTATCATAGAAGGCTGCAGTACGCACACATGGTGACAGTGGAGTCGATGGACGGGTCCATGAATTGCTTGCGATAGAAAATGACGTTGACCAGGTGCAGCCACGGCAGGAACATCAGCCCACCAAGGAACATCTTGCGCGCTATACTCTCATCCGCCTCCTTGTTCAGGTTACGCGTGAAGTTGCCACGGTTGTTCGTCTCCGCAGGCGGCTCCGTGCGCGGCGCCTCCTCTAGCACCGGCGTATCCGTCACGGACTCGTTCTGCTGGTGCCTTGCCATCTTTGTCCTGGATGTCTGACTTTTGGCTCAAATGGAGTTTTTTTT